TCCCTCCTCGCCCTCCTCCCCCACCTCCTCGTCCCCCTCCTCTTGCTTCTCCTCCGCCTCCTCCTCCTGCTCCTCCTCCTCCTCCTCCTCCTCCTGCTCCTCCTCCTCCTCCTACTCCCCCCCCTCCTCCGCCTCCGTCATCTCTTACTCTTGCCCTCGCTCGGACGGCTGTTCCCCGTGCATGTTTTGATTTCGGGCGCACATGCCCCTCGACGGCCCCCGCCGAGCAAAAGTGCACCACGCCCCAGCGATGCCGAGGCCCCTGCCCGCCCGAGCAGCTCTCAGGGTCCGAGGGTCCAGGATCGACGCCCGAGGCCCGAGCGTCGAGGGTCCAGGCTCGAGGTTCGAGGGTCGGTTCGGCGGCGAGCGAGGGGGGGAGAGTAAGAAGGAGAAGGCCCCCTCAGAAGGCGGCGGGGCTCCTCAGAGGCCCTCGCGCCCCCTGAGAGGTCCTTCTGCGTCTCCGGGGGAAGCTCGGACGTCTTCTCGGGAGGCCGAGACGCCTCCGAGCCTTCCGACGAGGCCCGCCCCGTTCGCACTTCCCCCCAGGGCTCGCGGCCGCTCGGTGAAAGGGGGGGCGGGTGCCCAGGTCAAACTTTGGCGCGGGCTCTTTTGATGGGCCTGATTTCCACCACCACCACCGTAAGTTGGAGGGAGAAGGAGGACGAGGAGGAGGAGGAGGAGGAGGAAGAACCCCTCCCACTCCAACTTGTGGTGGTGGTGGAAAGCAGGCCCACCATCTTCTCGCCTCGCGCGAGTGCCCAGAGCAACGCTCCAGAGACGCCCCCAGGGCGAGCCCTGGGCGCATCGCACGGGGGCGGGCTCGGCAAGCGGCTCGGGAGAGGGCGGATGAGCAGGCGTGTGACCCGGGAGAAGATCGCGGTGAGGCCACGTGAGGCAGAGCAGCATCAGCAATGGCACGACGAGCAGGAGGAAACGGTGTCGACGCTACACACACCGTTCCGATCTCCCGCCCAGTGCTACCTGGGACAAAAAAACGGGTGTTCCAGCGCTTCCATCTGCACCCAATCTCCCCTCTCGACCACACATTCAAGCCAGCCAACAAGTGAAGGAACGCATCTGCCTATGCACATCGCCCCGTTTACGACGTTCATGAATCCAAGGTCGTGGATGTAATACGCTGCGACGGTGACAGCACCGATGAGACCAAACTTGACCAAGTTCGTCACAGCATCCCTTGCGCGTGTAGAGGGAGAGGGAAGGCCAAATACAGAAACGCTCCAGCGGAAGCATATGGAACCAGTCTCGAGTGAGGGTAAGAGTAGAGCCGGGGGGGCTTCAGGAGCCGAAAAGGTAGGCATAATTACAATTTCTGGCTCCCTCTCCGTCCCTTTTCTTACTCTCTCTCTCTCTCTCTGTCTCTCTATCTATCTGTTACGGATTATTGTCGTTCGGCATCTCTCTCTCTCTCTCTCTCTAGCCATCTTCCTGTCCCTCTCCCTCTCCCTCTCTTCTCTCTTCTCTCTCTTTCTCTTGATCGTGTGCTTGTTCTTTGTATCGCTCTCTCTCTCTCTCTCCCTCTCTGTCATCTCTCCCTGGTGCCCAGTCGCTCGACATCTATAGAGGAGACCTAGCAGAAGCACTGGGGAGGAGCGGGAAGAGGGTGCGTCTGCCGATTGACCATGTCTGTGGTACTCCTTCGCCTCCCAACGTCTAGAGGGCCCCGGGGCCAGCCAAGATACCGCCGCTATAATCCAGATGTCACGTGCGAACGTATGCTACCGTACATTCATACACACACATACATACATACATACATACATACATACATGCATGCATGCATGCATGCATGCATGCATGCATGCATACATTCATGCATACGGATCCACCAACCTACCTGCATACCTGCATACCTGCATGCCCACACATGTATACATACATGCATACAAACATGCATGCATGCATACATACATACATACAAATACACAAATACCTACATACATGCATGCGCGTACGCATGCATACATGCATTCATGCATGCATGCGTGCATACGCACATATATACAACATGCATACATGCATAAACTGCATACAACCATATAGAGAGTTGCATGTGCATACGTACATATATATACATACCTACAGGTATGCATGTATACATACATACATGCATACACATGTACATACCAACCTATCTGCACGTAGACATACATACCTGCATATACACATGTAGCCGTCCCTGTCATGCATTACACACATGTGTATCTACATACATACATGCGTCCATGCATATATGCATACACACACATGTACGTGCATGCATACATACATACATCACACAGATACACACATGCACTCATGCATGCGTGCATACATACATGTATGCATGCATGCATGCACACATTCAGAAATACATGCATGCATACATGCATACATGTATGCATGCGTACACACATACAAACCTACATGCATACACACACACATACAAACATAAAGCCATACATGCATACATACATGCATGAATGCATGCATGCATGCATGCATGCATCCATACGCACATGCATGCGTACATACATACACGCATACATGCATACATGCGTACGGAAATATATACATACAAACATCCACGCATGTATGCATGCATACATACAGCCGTACATGCATACATGCATGCATACATACGTACATACGTGCATACGTACATACGTACCTACGTACATACGTACATGCATACATATATACGTCCGTTCGGTCGTACGTGTGTGCGTACATACTTACATACATACATACACACACATACATACATACATACATACATACATGCATACATACATACATACATACATACATACATACACACACATACATCCATACATACATACATGCATGCATGCAAGCATGCATGCATGCATACACGCATACATGCATATATATATATATATAGAGAGAGAGTGAGAGAGAGAGAGAGACCGATGTGTGCACGGTGTTCTACACACACGCACACACACGTATGTATCCCAATGCACGTTCGAAGACGTCTCCAATACGGCACTGACACCCTCCCACAGGCTCCAACAAAAACCGTGCGCTTGCCCGCGCAGGCCTCAGACACTCTTCGAGGGCCGACGGAGATGCCCGACGAGGCCCGCGGGACGTCACAGGAGGTCTGCCGGAGGCTCTCCAGGAGGCACCGGAGAGACCACCAACCACGAAACACGCAACCCACCCTGAGATCCTGGCGTCGCAATTTGTGATGGGGTCTGGGGCTCTGGTCGTGGTCTGTCACGATGATATGCTCTTGTCACACGTCGTCGTATCTCAGGGCATGCACATTGCCATTTGCTGAGCATCCTTGTTCGCCCCTGGGAGGCGGCCACAAGACTGCCCCAAGGCGGCGCGATGACGGCCGTGCAAGGGTGGCCCAAAGGCGGCCCGATGACAACCCAAAGCGGCCTTAGACATGCCAGCTGGGCGGCCCCAGCGCCCTGCAAAGCTACCCCCAGCACCCGCACGGCATGCGCGAGACCCTCCACTATGGCCCAGCACGCACCCAACGAGCTCAGGAGGCGTACAAAGGCTGCCACGGAGCCTCGTCGCAATCGCCAGTCGTCGGAAGGAAGAGCACGCTCGGCAAGGTAGCAGCAGAGGCTGTGAGAGGGCAACAAAAAACGGTGCGGGAAATCGCAAGAGATGGATGGTGGTGAAGGGGAGGGCGAGGGATCGGGGATGGGGCATAGCACATGCAGTTTGAAAGTGTGCGTGATGGAAGAAGGCGGCCATAATAGATTGGGTTGCGGCCGTCCCACCCCGCAGCCCAAACCAGGAAGGCAAATTGATCACCTTCGAATGTTGAACGAGCGCAAAACATGTAAGGATCGTGGTATCCAGCGAACGGCGTGTAGAGGGAGACGCGAGGGGAAACGGCTGGCTACCCGCTTCTGGGCGGGCCATCGCTGCCAGGCGTGTACCTGCCCGCTCTGACTCCTTCACCGTGCCAGATGTCTCAAGCAAGGGACATACCCGAAGCAATTATACCTCATCCGTCAGCACCCGTCCCCACCCACCCACCCCACACCTCCAGTGTTGACTGACCGTTCCGGTACCAATGCCCTAGTAGATGGACATTAGACACGCGGGCGGCGTGGCACCAGCGCAACGGTTGGGCTAAACTATAAATTGGAATTGATGCCACGATGCGAGGGGGTTCTGAAGCACGGGAAGTGGGATTGCGCACCGCTTATCCTTCGTGGTGACGATGGCTCCGGTGGTGACGATGGCTCCGCAAGCTCCTCACTGCAGCTCGGACGCCCCGAATCCGGCCATCACGGCCACGAGCGCGAGCAGCTCGAGGCACCGAAGTTCGGCGAACGCCGGCTTGCAGTCGCCCGCCCCCCCTCCCCCGCACCCCCCCCTCCCCTCCCCGCCTCCGTCCATCCCCCTCCAACCCCCCCGCCCCTCCCTCCTGCCCCCCAATCCGCGAGGGAAGCAGGCACCGCCTGCACCGCGCGCCCCGCTCTCGCAGGCGCGGCCAGGCCTGCCGGGAGCTGGGGCCGGCGGCCGCGGTAGCGGAGAGAGGGAGAGGTTCTGCCGAAGTGGAGAGCGCGCGCCACTGGAGATGCGCCAGAGGCCAGGGGCGAGGCTGAGAGGGGGGGGTCTCCAAGATCTGTGTGGCAAGCTCCAATACTGTATTGGTGATCAAGTGGAAGTACACCTTGACGCAAGAATGCGAACACATGTCTGTTCCGTTCGCTGACACCTAGACATGAACTGATGTTGTTCTGTGATGCAATACGGTGGTAGCACCAATGTGGGTGCCTGGGATCCTTAGATCGCCACCCACTTCAGACTTCTCAGGGGAAGAACACTTACATGGAAGAGGCGTCTGGCAACCAACGCCACACGGGCCCGACGCAGCGAAAACTACCACGCACTTGCAGCCAACACCTACCACTCTCGACGAGCAGCGTGGGACTAGCCTGCGCTCACGGCGCACAGCGTCACGCAATCAGATACGAGTTCCTCCTCACAGTGCTGGCCATAGTTCTTTACTTGGTTGCTTTAGGGAGGGATGTGTACACATCTTTACGGTAACGTACATACAAGGTGAACGTGACCTCAGCTGAGAGCACTGGGCGAATCTACACACATCAGCTAACGCCGAGCGATGTCTGAACGCCGTCCTCGCAAGTGGGCTCCCAAGACGGGTGGGAGGATGCGGAGGAGGCAAGAAGAGACATGGAAGAATACGACGACGAAGAGAAAGATCCATGCCCCGACACGACACGGAAGAACGTCCCATGTTACGGTTATGTCAAGCCTCGACTTACCGCCAGGCAACTGAATATCCAAGCTCGGTGTGACTATGTTCAACAGCGTGATAGTAATACAAGACGTGGCCTCCACCTTGAGTCAGCAGGGCGTGTTGCCGTATTCTCACCTTCGCCCACGCCCAGAAACTCACTGCCGCATGCATGCGGTGCCATCGGATGGTAGCAACGGTGTCTTTGGGATCGCTAACCTTGTCATCACTCGGACGTCACTTTCCCCTGCATAGTTCGTTTTCATGCGTGCTTCTCTTCGGCTCGTCGAGCAGAAGAAAAACACGATGACCATCCTGGATCATCGAGCAGTGTTCGATGATCCAGGATGCTCCTCAGCGTCCCTTGCCGACACGTCCGTGCGATGCCAAGGCGAGGGGCGGAACCAAGCCACAAGAGGGCGGCAAAGTAGGCACGTCTCGAGCCGGCCCTCACGAGACCAAGCAGGATTCTCACTGCCACGCTGCACGGGTTACGCAGGTCAGGCTATCCCCTCTCATCCTGGACATCTCTCGGCCCTCCATGGCCTGAATGGGCGCCATCATGGGCATGAGGATCAGCGGGAAGACCCCCAGGACGCTGAGAGACGCCGCGAGGCGCGCCAAGTTGCCCCAGAAATTGTGGGGTAGATCCACCTCGGCGGTGAACTTTCCCCGTCTCCTCCCACTCCTCTTCCTCCTCCTCCTCCTCCTCCTCCTCCTCCTCCTCCTCCTCCCCCTCCTCCTCCTCCTGCTCCTCCTCCTCCTCCTCCTCCTCCTCCTCCTCCTCCTCGTCCGCCTCCTCCTCCTCCTCCTCCTCCTCCTCCTCCTCCTCGTCCTCCTTGCTGTTCCTGCTCCTGCTCCCCCCCTCGCTCTCATCCGTCCGCTGCCCCTGCTCCCTCAGTGGTAACGGAGAGGAAAGGCGGGGGCTCTCTGCCAGGAGGCGCCCGCGCCGCGACGCCTCCAACCGAACCCCCTCCCGCTGACCCTTCGCCGCGCCGCCCCTACCCGACCCAGGCCGCCGGACACCAACACGTGCCACTGTCGGTGGCCTCAGGGATGGAGTCCTGAGGACGAGGTGCCTCAGGCAATCTGGGTCCAGCCCTGGATCCATTCCTGACATGAAAGCCCTATCCCTTAGGACCCCATCATCTTTGAACCACCGATGAATGGTGGATGGGGGAGGGGGCGCTCGCAACCCATGTCCTCGACTACATACCAGGCCACCCCCACCCAACCCGAAGACCCGAATTTCGGGTTTGGGGGGGTACGGGTTCCGTATGTTTGTTCTTCAATGTTCCCGGACCCCCCCAGTGGAAATGGAGGGCAAATTGAAGCCTTCGGGTTGGGTTGGAGTGATTTTGTGGGAGGCGAGTCCTCGGGTGAGCAGGCGACGCATACGGACACTTCATACGCTCAGCACCCGAGCCCGATAGCCTCAAAAACTCGAAACCCATGTGGGCTGTGCCGAGGTGCACCAGCCAGCGCACGAGCAAATTCTCACACACCCGTAAGCCCCGCAGATACAAACAAGAGTAAGGGCCTCCTCCTCATCATCATCATCATCCTCCTGTTCCCCTCCTCCTCCTCCTCCTCCTCCTCCTCCTCCTCCTCCTCCTCCTCCTCCTCCCCCATCCAGCTCCCTGGCGTCCTCCGCCTCCTGCTCCTGAACGTCCTCGTCCTGCTCGTGGTCGGCGGCACCAGCCGTAAGGCCTTCGCAATACAAGCAAGAGTAAGGGCGTAGGTCTGTCTCGTAGACTCGTGAATGCCCGAGACCCCCAGTTCCGAGAATTCCAATAGCCTTCATGACGCAACCGGTTTAACGTTCATAATTCAAATCCCGCTCTTCTCCCCTTTAGGGAAAGGGTGCCCTTTTTTTAGACGGATCCAAGACGAGGATAAATCGGGTGAGGATAAATCGAGAATCTCTGAGATCCAGCGGCTATGGAGGATGTATTGGGCGCCGCGGCCTTCTCAGAGCATCCTGAAACGCTCTGAGAGCGTCCTGGAACGCCCTGGAACGGATTGATCCTCGTCCTGGCCCCGTCCGCCTTTCTCCCTTCACTAGAAAAAGAAAAAACGCCAGAAACATAAACTTTTGGCGCTCCGCGCGGATTTCTTGGATCTGCGCTGGGGCCCCCCGGCGGCGCTCCGCGCGCAGGGAGGTGGGTCCAGCGAGGATCCAAGAAATCCAGCGCGGAGCGCCAAAAGATTATATGTATGCCGTTGTTTTCTTCTTCGACTCACCGCGCCAGAAGACTCACCCCCACCCCCGCCTGGCGTCAAGTCGGGCCTGTCCCTCTACAGGAGGAAAATTCATAAATGGTCAAAAAATAGTCTGGGGACGGACAATTGTTCGACAATCTTTGACCATGTTTTAGCATGTTTGACTATTTTTGATTTTTTGTCCAAAATCCACTTGTAGGAGAACACGCGCGACTTAAGCCTAGCGCAGCAGTGAGCCACAACGGCAGAGGCGGGCTTCCTCTGCCGATACGTTGGGGCCTTCGGCGCGCGAGACTGCGGCCCCTACCCAATCAGTGGTTCAAAGATGGGGTCCCTGAGGGATGGGGTCCTAAGGATAGGAAGGGATCCAAGGGTAGATCTACCTTGCTTGAGGCTCCGCGTCCTCAGGACACCATCACTCAGGACCCCACCTTTGAACCGCCGAGCCAAACCCCTCCCCAGGGGGCTCCGTCCAGCCAGTTTGGAGAGGGGGGTCCAGGCGAAAGGTGCCGGCGGCCCCGGCGGGCCTCACGCATGATGATGGGCGGCCTCTGACGGCTTCGAAAAATTTCACCCGGGCCCCTAGACTTGTGGATGCCATGATAGTAGACACCCTAACAATCCGATCATTGAATTCAAAATATGTGAAGCATCTTTGAAAAATATTCGAAACATGTTCTAAACATGTGCTTTACATGTTTACGATACGCTTTTAAAACATCTTTTATACATCTGGAGATTATTTGGCATCATGTCTCCTCTCCAACGATCGTCGTCCACAACCCTAGACGATTCCAAATGGCACCCGGTCGCCCGGAGATGGCTTCAAGACAGCCCACGAAGCTTCCACAATTCCAAGACCCCTCCAAGAGGCCGCCCTCTACGAGCGCCGGAACAAGCCTTGACACTTTCCTACAGAAGACATGACTTTTCGCAAAAGTGGCTCATACGCCACGACCAGCGACCCAGGACGGGCCAAGAGGCCTTCAGGAGGCTCCACGACGGCTCCAGGACGGCCACCATTTTTACCCCCAGAACAATTCTCCAGCCCCCTGAAGACCCCCTGAGACCAGGCGAACTCCTCTGTGAGACCCCTGGGGCCATTCCAACCTGGAGACCCTCCAACACGCCCCCGAAGCAGCCCGAATTGCGAACAAGACAAAGCCGGAGACTCCCATGATCCAAACCACCCGCTCGACGAATCAGTAGTAGATGGCCGCGATGCTATATCAAGAATGCTCCACCCCCGCAGAAACCATGCGAGTCTTCAGTGTATATGCAGATAGGTATTTATGTGCGTATGTGCCGATGTAGTTGTATGAATAAAGAAGTATGTATATTCATACACATATATATATGAGTATAGTTGTAAATGTGTATGCACGTGTGTATGAACGATTGCCTTGTTGTATGCATACATGCATGCATGTATGCATGTATGTATATATGCATGCATGTATGTGTATGTGTATGTGCGTGTGATGTGGTCATGCATGTATGTAGGTACATATGTATGTGTGAATGGATGTACGTGTATGTTATGTATGTACGTATGTCTGTCTGTATGTCTGTCTGTCCGTCTTCATGTATGCCTGTCTATAGGTGGGTCTGTAGGTAGGTAGGAAGCAAGGTAGGTCGGTAGGTGTGCATATGCGTATGTATGTGTCAACATGTATAAATATATACGTATATATGTGTATGTGTATGTATGTATGCTTGTATGTATGCATGCATGTATGCAAGCATCTATGTGTAGGTGTAGGTGTAGGTGTAGGTGTGTATATGTAGGTGTAGGTGTAGGTGTAGGTGTGGGTGTGTAGGTGTAGGTGTAGGTGTAGGTGTAGGTGTAGGTGTAGGTGTAGGTGTAGGTGTAGGTGTAGGTGTATGTGCATGGTTGTATATGTATGCGTATGTGCCTGTGTGGGTGTGCATGTGTGTATGTATGCATGTATGTAAGAACGGATGGATGGGTGGATCAGTGGACGGATGTATTCATATATATGTATATATTAAAAAATATACATACCGATTAGGTTGGTGCAAATATAAATACATCGATTCGTACGTACATATCTATATATATCTATGTAGATCTACATATATATATATGTTGGCATGGATACATACGGGTATATCTCTCTCCCTCTCTCTTTCTCTCTTTCTGATCGCCCGCGCGGCAAGCAGGGAGCCACCGTCGCCCCAAAACACGCTGGAGGGGGGTCTCCGTGCCCTGCGCTCGCTCCCCCCGCTGCCACGGCCGCCCCTCTCCGGGGGGCGCATAAACGAAATGATGGTGACGTGCTGCTGGGGCACAAAGCGAGGAACAAGCCATAGAATAATACTGGCATAGGAGCTCGAGGCCCGCGCCGAGCCCTTGGCTCGGTGCTGGAACCCCTCCCTGGCGCGCGGAGCGCGCCCAGGGCGGCGCTGGAGGCGCCGCCAGAGGCTCCAGCGCCGAACCAAGAATCCCGCGCGGACCTCCGAAAGTTTATCTTCATGCGCCTTTTGCTTATTTGAGTAGGGAAGGGACGAGGACAATGGGAATGGGAAGGAGGAGGAGGAGGAGGAGGAGGAGGAGGGGGAGGAGCAGTGAGAGGGGGAGGAGGAGGGAGAGGGAGGAGGGAGAGGGAGGAGGAGGGAGGGGGAAGAGGGAGGGGAGGGGGGGAGGGAGGATGCTTATGCCACGTGCTGCTCCCCGACAGGGAAAAAAGGCTGCCGCCCCCCCCTCGCGGCGCTCCTCGGGAGGCGCCGGGGGGGGGGGGCAGCGCGGTGCCCGAACGAGCGGCGCGCTGCGCCCCGAGAACCCGCGCGGGCCCGCCTCGAGGGCGCAGCGCCGCGGCCCGTCGGGCCCCCTGCGCGGGGGGCCCGAGGCAGTCTCGAGCCTGCTGGGCGGCGATCAGCTGGAAGTCGGAAGGGGCGTGGCATAAAGAAGGGGCGTGGTGCCAATCGCGGAAGCGGCGATGTCATCTGCGATCGATAGCCTCGCCAGGTCCAGCAGTGGCACCACACCCTTTTACACCAAATACCCTTTTCCCTCCCCCAGGGAGAAAGGGGGGGGGCGATCGGTTGTCGGGGAGTCGTAAAACACGGGTTCGGGGAATTTGGGCTGTCCTGCGGGCCCATCATGAGAATAACGAAATCCAGTCCGACATTTGACACGAGCTCCCGCTGCAAACATCCCACGAAAACTGGATCGTCAGATTCCAGGACGCGCTGGTCAAAAAACGTCGGCAAGCCCGAGCTCTGGCTTACTCGAGTATCACGCTTCCCCGAGATGATTGTGGGGGCGACAGATTGGGCGCCCGACCCGTCCGGGATCACCGCGGTCCTGGGTCATTCCGGTTCAGGCATCCGAGGCGCGAATCCGTAGTTACCCCTGACCGCCCCCAGCCCTGATGATTCGGGGCTCTGAGTCGTTTGGGGGGGGGGCAGCGAGGGCCGCCGAAGAAGGGGCCCGCCGGGGTCCCCCCAAGGGGGCAGCCAGGGCTGCCGAACAAGGGGCCCGCCAGGCTGCCGAACCAGGGGCCCGCCAGGGTCCCCCCAAAGGGGGCGCTGTAGGGGCCCCGATAAGGGGGCCTGCAGGGCCCGAGACGGGCACCCTTTCCGTCCCCCCTGGCCATCGCTCGGACGTGCATTCCCCTGTTCTTGCGTCGGTCTCGTGCGCGGCTTCTATTCGTAGGATGACCCAAGACACTCCTCAATGATCCTCGCCGAAGGCAAAATGCACACGTCGGAGCGATGCCAAGCCCCCCCCCAAAAAAAGAAGATCGCCCCCCCCCCCCCCCCCCCCCGAATTCACGCGCGCCCAAGCTTACTTGAGCAGGGGCCGACCGTCCTGGCATTCCGATTGGCCTACCACGACATGTTCTCAGAGCGAAGGAATGCTCCGATAACAGCAAAAGTGCTCTGAGAGCATAAGGCCGATGTGCCACAAACAAGAGGCAACGTCAGGTCGAAATGGTTGAAGAACATGTCGCGCAAGCCACAAAAGGCTATCAGAGCACTCTTGGGTGGGCCTATAAACGAGCCAGGACGCTTCGCCACTGCTTGACTTACAATCAGAAAGTGATACTAAGGATGCGCGGTAAAGATACAGGCCACTGCTTTTTGAGAGGGGCCGGCCAGCGAAAGTGGTTACGTACGGATAGACCGACAAGGCACGGATGCAAGGGTACCCGCAGGAAGGGCAGCATCCGTACCATCGGTTCTGACCGTACCCAGTCTCGAGCTCATGACGATCCCCAGGACTGACAAGTCAAGAAGCGATGACGATCTCAGGGACGCGCCCTCAGAAGCCGAGGGGATCCTCAAGATCGCCATCGGGGTGAGGTCATGCCAATCCTGGGGATAACGACATCTTGCCGTCGCTCGGACGTCCATTTCCCGTGCATGTTTCGGTTTCGTGCGTGCTTTTGTTCGCTCGATGATCCAGGATGTTCCTCAAGAGTCCTCGCCGAGAAAAAAATACACGCGTCCGAGCGATGCCAGGACGTGTTTCGGGCCGGTAAGCCTCCCGCGGGCGCCGAGCGCGCCCCGCGTTGGGGGCCCGCTCGGCCGAGGCGGGGGCCCGGCTCTCGGACGAGGCTCGCCCGCCTTGGGTGCGGAAGCAGCGGGCGCGGTGTGCCCAGCACCGCACGTGGTCAATGAACCGGCAGCGGCCGCTGCTGTGCAGGCGCCTGTCTCTCAGAGTGACAACTGGCCATCGCTCGGACGTCCATTCCCTGTGTTTTTGTTCGCTCTCGTGCGTGGTTTCTTTCGCCGAATGATCAAGGATGCTCCTCGATGGCCCTCGCCGAAGGAAAAAATGCACACGTCCGAGCGATGCCAACTTCCGCGGCTGCGCCGACAGCGAATCCTGCTCGAGATGGGCAGGAGCTGCTGTCGGTCGTCGTCCTCCTTCATGCCGCCCCCGCTTCGATCGCACAGAGGGACGGTGCCTCTGTCGGGTGGTCGTTGAAGGGGGGGGTCGGGTCAAGACAGGGGGGGTGATCGAGGGTGGCAGGGAGGGGGCCCGGAAGGGGCCCTTCTGGGCGCCCACCGGGACCCCTGCGGGCCCCAACCAGGAGGTGCCCCCGTTCTTGAGCCCCTCTGCCCTGACCCCTCCTTGCCGACCTTCCGATTCTGGAGCGCCCTGGGAGAACAAGACCCCTGGCGAGCGGTCGTCATCCTCCTCCTCCTCCTCCTCCTCCTCCTCCTCCTCCTCCTTCTCCCCTCCTCCTCCTCCTCCTCCTCCTCCTCCTCCTCCTCCTCCTCCTCCTCCTCCTCCTCCTCCGCCTCCTCCCTGCCTCCAGTCTTCCTCATCCGGTCGCCCTCCGGCCCTCTGGATAACGGGGCGGGGGGCGAGACCGGCTCGGCGGTCGCCGCGGAGGCCTCCCAGCGGGGCGCACGGCCGTCACTCCCAGCTCAGCAGCAGGGCCATGTTGGAAGACTTCTGGTGGTGGTTCTGGCGGAAGCTCTGCGCAAACTCCTGAGAGGAGGCAAAAAGGTTACAAATACCGCTGCTCCCTGGATCTCTCCCGGGGTGCGCTCTGACCAGGATTTCGAGGCGAAGCCAGCGGTGGCGACGAGGGCCTCCCGGGAGGCCGAGAAAGAGGACAACGGGCGAAGGGGTAGAGGCAGGGGCACCTCTTCCTCCCCTGAACTCCTGCGACCGCTTCTCGTTCTGCCTTGCAGTGAACTGGCAGATGCTGGAGAAGGCTTCGTCATTGTTCAGGCGGTTGGTCCGCAGCTCCTCGTCCTCCTCCCTGCCGGCCTGGTGGTCGAGGAGGCGGCCCGCGGACTGCGTGCTCCACTGGCGAGCCGACCGCGGTGTCATCGCCTTGCCCCGGCTCCGCGTGCTGCCCAAGCTCGGGTAAAGTTCACCCTCGTGCGTCAATGGCAGAAGAAGAAAAAACGCAATAAACAGAAACTCTTGGTGCTCCGCGCGGATTCCTTGGATCTGCGCTGTACCCCCCTCCCTGGCGCGCGGAGCGCGCCAGGGGCGCCGCCGCAGGCGCCGCCGGGGGGGCCCCAGCGCGGATCCAGGTTATCCGCGCGGAGCGCCAAGAGTTTCTGTTTATGGCATGTTTGTTCTTCTTCGAAATGGGTTGTACACGGGCGGCTGCGAGCAGGCTCTCGGCGTGGCCTCCCCGGTCGCCATGAGCTCGTACCTGTACATGGCCGCCGACTCCGCGTCCCTCGCGATCGACTGCTTCGTGGACTCGGCCGAGTGCTCGAAACACTCGCCCCTGCCCCGGCGCCTGCCGGTGCCGTAGGCGCCCGTGCGGTCGAACCAGTAGTCGGGCCTGCCGCTCGGTCCATCCTTCCATCCCTGCTTCTTCGGGCTGCCCTGCTTCTTCTGGTCGGCCGTGCTGGAGAACTTCGTGCACGGGGGGCTGTGCCCCTGCATGAACACAATGTCCACGGGCTCGGCCGCGGCGTCGTCCCTGGCCGAGGTGAGGCACTGTGCCATCGTGACCCTGTCGCTTGGCAGCCAGTCCTGGACATGGCGCCGTGTGCTGTGTCTCTCGCCTTCCTCGCCGGGCGCGGCGTTCTTGAAGACGTCGAGCTTGGAGCCCCACGGCCTCGAGGCGCCCGCGAAGGACTCCGCCGAGCGTGCACGCGCCTTTGTGATGGCCCTAGTCGTAGGCGCCATGTCTCCAGGGTGCCTGTTTCCCATCTGATGGCGGAAGAGATCCTCATCCTCCTTCACCTGGTCCTGGTCGCGCTCGGACTCTGCCGCCTGCTGGAGAAGGTACCCCATGCGGTCGCTGTGAGGGTTGCTCGCTGCCCGCGCGGTGGTGAGGGGCGAGCCGGCGTCTGCGGAGTGCATGTGCATGGTCGCGAGCGCGCTCTTGGGCGCCTTGGTGAGGCTGCCGTTCCCCGCGGCGGGCATGTCGAAGGAGGCCGGGCTGCCCGAAGCCACGCTCGCGCGCTGGCTCTGGGTCTCCATGGAGGCGTCCGCCGTGTGCGCCAGCGAGAAGTGCTCCGACATGTGCGCCAGCTTCAGGGCGCGGTCCGTGAAGGCGGCCCTCATGCCTATCTGGGATGGGTGACCCGCTATGCCCCTGCCGTTTGAGGCCTCGCAGGACCTGGCCCTCGGGCTGCCCGGCGAGGCCCCGACGCTCTGGCCGAAGGCCTCGGTGAGGCTCGCGTCGTGGGCCTGCTGCTGCTCGCGGTGGTGGCGGAGCTGCTCGTCCTTCTCCGCGAGCTTCGCGTCCCCGTGCAGGCGCTTCTCCCAGTTGCGCAGCTTCTCTGAGTGAGTCCATGTCTTCGGGTTCGTCCGCGAGTCGATGGCCTGCTGGCCATAGATCGCCGCGAGAGGATCGTCTTCCTGTGGGATGTCCTCTTCTCTAAACATCGTGGTCGCACCTCCTATGGAGTACCGCTTGAGCCTGTACGCAGATCTTCCTGGCGACCACGGGTTCCCACCTCCGACTCCGCCTGTATTCGTAGACACGGACTCAATTCCAGGACTGCGCTGCGAATCCTGGAATTTTGGCTTGCCAGAGATCTCCTTGGCGGGGCTCCCGAGCTGCAGCGTCTTCTGCCGAGAGGCCTGCATCTGCACCGTCTGATGCCGGGATACCTTTAGGTCGGGCGTGTCCCCCTACAGGCGGATCTTGGACGAAAAGTAAAACATGATTGAAAAAAACAACATTGTCAACAAAATGATCAAACAATCGTCCCCTGACTATGTTATTGACTATTCTTGAACATTCCTCCTGTAGAGGGACACGCCCGACTCAAGTAGAGGCCTACTAGATGGGGTCCGAGTAGATGGGGTCGGAGGAGCTCGCCGCATCGCCGATACATCGGCGATGCATCGCCGATGCATCGGAGATGCACGGGCGACAGCGGCGATGCATCGGCGACGTCGGCGTTGAGAAAATTGGGCCCCGCATCGAGCCGCATCGGCGATGCATCGCCGATGCGGTGGCGATGCGTCGCGACCCTCCGACCCCATCTACTCGGACCTCCGCTAAGTCTACAGTAAGGATACCTGCGACTGCCGGGGGGCCTCGGTGTTCCGGCCGCGCGCAGGCCTCGCGGCGTCCTCGCCGCCCGTCTGCACCCTCTTGATGCCGGGCGAGCCGGTGCCCACTTGCACGTGCACCGCCTCGCTGCGGCGGCGGTCGGGGCTCTTGCTCGGGGAGCGGACCATGACATAAACATAAAAACTCGGAGATCCGCGCGGACTTCTCGCATCGGCGCTGGGACCCCTGGCGGCGCCTCCGGCGCCGCCCCTGGCGCGCTCCGCACGCCAGGGAGGGGCCCCAGCGCCGATGCGAGAACTCCGCGCGGACCTCCGAATTTGTATGTTTATGTCAGGGCTGAACCTAAACGGTGTTGTTCGTTTTCGTTTTGTTTCCGCTTTCCCTCGCTCGTGTCTCGCGTCCGCCGTTACCGCAAAACGGAGTCGAAACGAAAACGGCCCACGAAATCGCCAAAAACACCGTTCAGGTCCAGCCCTGTCATTGCCCGCCCCCCTGCTTGTTGTAGTGCCAGTTGGCCGCCTGGTCCCGCGGCTGCCACTCCTCAGCGGCCGGCCCGTGGCCCGGCGTCGCGTGAGACCACGTCTGCCCAGGCGCGGGCTCCCCGTTCAGGGAGCTCGTCAGCGCCTTGGTCAGCTTCGTCTTCAAGGGACCTGAGCATCGCTTGACCGATCCCCATCCCCGGCGGCGTGGCCTGGGCCCCACTGGCCGATCTACCCCCAGACCCCCTCGAGTCATGAAAAAATCACGACGGGACGTTTTTCGCTATTTTCGGCCTCCGGGGGCCCTTACCGGCCCTCAGGACCGTCAAAAAACGACTCAGGATGAAAAGCCGGTCCCGGGGAATGGGTCCGGACCTCTGGGGGTCGCGTCATGAAAAAATCATGACGTCGGGGGTCTGGGCCCCCCCTAGATGGGGATATGGGTCGTTCGCTTCGGGTTTCGAGGGGTGTATCCCCAACTGGGGTGGTAGTTAGGTGGGGGCCTCTCGAAGGGGATGGGGATGGGGATGGGAATTGGTTAAACGACACTGAAGACCAGTCCTTGCCGAAACGAACGCCGGCGAGCTCTTGTGAGGCTGGACCGACCGGGCCGAGAAAGCCATGGTCGCGGCGGCGCCGCGCGCTCTCCGCGGCCTCCCGCTGGTCGGCGGACTCTGCCGAGCGGCGCGGGCGATAGCTGCTTGAGCCAAAACGGCTACCGGGGATGGACAGACCCCCCTTCAGTAAAACGCGGTTTAGTGAAAACGACCTGAGGCCCAAACCTGGCGGGCGCAAGCCTGGAAAATAACGGCCGCGGCGCCCTCTCGAGAACCGAAAACGGAAATTTCACTAATCGGCGTGTCACTGTTGGGGGTTCTGTCCACCCCCGAGGCTACAAGAACCCACCGTGTGAGCGACGAAAAGAAGCGGGTCTTACGCGAAATCGCATAGCGATCTGTACGCGGCGGCGTGCGCGGGCCGACGGCGCGGCACGCTGCACTGGAGACGAGGGCGCTTACGCGCGACCTTACCTTGCCCTCGCTCGGACGTCCATTTCCTGTGCATTTGTCGGTATCGTGCGTGTTTTGTTTGCTCGATGGTCCAGGATGGTCCTCGATGGTTCTCGCCGAGAAAAAATGCACACGTCCGAGCGATGCCAAGTTACGCGGGCACCTTGCGCGCTGATGTCGGCATGATCGAAGTCGTTGTTCCGCGTCGCCCATGTGAGCCAGCGCGTATGAGCATACCGCAAGACTCGACTATAATATTGAGTCGGGCATGTCCCCCTACAGGAGGTTTTCGACGAAAAATCATAAAAAAAACAAAAATAAAAAAAAAAGTCTGGGGACTATGGTTTGAGTATTGGTTGACCTTTTTGGGGCATGTTTGGAGTATCTTTATGTTATTTGTCGTTGAAAATTCCTCTGTAGGCGGACACGCCCGACATAACTAGAATACCACCAGTCTGGGCGTAGGTGGTTTATCACCTTCTCTCTTCCAAACAGCTAACTTGCCTTCCAGCTCTCCCCCCGCAGACGCTTGGGATAGGGGGTCGCGACCATTCGGGGCATCCGAGGTGGCCCAATACGACTCGGAGATGGCCTGAGGTCGCCCAACATGGAGTCCAAGATGGCGCAATGTGCCCCGAGCTTGGCATCTAGCATCGCATGTTCCACCTGCGATATCTCTGAAGCCTCAAAACTACCATGACTTGACCCAATAGCCTGGGCCTTAAGAGGCCTCCCCAAGAGCCCCCCGAAAGAGTTCCAGGAGGGCCTGAACTGATAACTCCCCGGGCTCCCAGAGCGGTACTGTAATCCTCCTTCGGCCGACGGCATTCACCATGGCCACAGATGGACCCACAAATGCACCCGAGGGAACCACAAGAAGATCCAAAGAGAAGTCGAAGAGGCTCCGCAAGCACCGAAGAGGGCAAGAGGGCATCGGTAAGATGAGCACGGCTCGGCTAAGCGAGGATAGGTGATCATAGGCTAAGCCAGGATCCGACCAACGCAATCGATCTTCGTTACGCTATGCAGAGCAATATGCAGCTGCGAGAAGATGATAACACATCAAGATCAACGAAGTCAGACACATCTGAAAGCACGCAGGGCCATAGGTGTAATATAGTCTAGCGTAGATCGATGGTTTGCTTGGGCGATTCTTCCAGTGGCTCCCGGCAACGCGAATGCTGCCTGGCGGTCCTGACTCCATCCGTAAGAACTCCGATTCAAGTGGCGACGATCCACGCGTCGTTCGCGCACGTGTCGTGCGTGCGTGCACGTGTCGTGCGTGCGTGAATGCGTGTGCGAGTGTGACAGCGGGCGCCGCGGACCCCAAACGACGGTCGCATGGCAACGGGACGAACTCACCAACGACCAGCATCCTTGCGAAACGGCACGGCAAGAAGCCTGCAGGCATGGGAGACGCGCGCAGGCGCCGCCGAGACAGAAGACCGGGCTGCTCAGGAAATAGAAGCGCGAGCGAGGCACAGGGCCAAGAGCAAGCACAGGAAGAACACAATTCGTCGGTCCAACGGGCCAGAGGCGTGCTAAAATCTGTTACTTCGCACTCGCGGGGCGGAACCCTGGGGGTCCTGGAAGAGAAAAGCCCTGAGAGGGTCTGGGCCGGAGATGTGTGAACACTGCTCCAGCGTCTCCATCCTCCTGCCCGTCCTGCTCGCCTCATACGTCCTCCTAATCCTATTCCCCCTTGTTTCCCTTGGCTGTGCTCTCCTACTGGAAGGCTGCGAACCACGCAACCGTCGCCACTTTCGTGGGCTTCTCGCGGCTCCTGTAAGGGCTGCGACGTGCGCAAGCGTCGTCATGTCGTTGGGTTTTTGGGAGGCACGGCGGAGATGAGGGCAGCGCACGTCAGTTTGGGCCTCGCGGTTCCCTTGGGGACTGCGACATTCCCAACTGTCTCGGCGCTCGTGGGCTTCTGGGAGGCACGGCGGCGATGAGGGCAGCGCATCTTTTGATACCACGCAGCCCCGTCGGGGGCTGCTAGCCTCACTAGTATGTCTTCCCAATCCTTCTTCATCCTCGTTGTCCTCCTCTCCCCCTTCAGTCTTTCAGCATTTGTGCCAACAGACCCCACGACGTGAGACCAGCAGCAAACGTGGGGTCAGGGAAAACCAAGTCCAAGCATCCTTCACCACTTCTGCATGGAAATACTATGAACGAGATAACGCGTGGCGAGGGGGGTCAAGGACACTATCCTCCTTTCCTCGTTATCCTCCTCGTCCTCCTCCTCCTCCTGCTCATCATCATCCTCATCCGCATCAGCAGCAGCAGCATCAGCATCAGCATCAACAGTTGCATCCTCATAAGCATCTTCATCCTCATCCTCATCCTCCTCATCCTCCTCATCCTCCTCATCATCAGTATCAACAGCATCATCAGCAGCATCACCAACAGAACCCTCATCAGCACTCCCAAGGCGGAGCCGCCAGGGTGTACTTCACGGACCCGTTCGCGCCCAAATTATAAGGATGTCTACGGCGGTTCGCCTGTTCGCGTGCCCGACACCCTCTGCATTCGAAGCTGATTGCGAGGACGTCTCGGGCGAACGCTGGCTTCAACACCCCAAGGGGAGCAGCCAAGGGGCGGATGACGCCCCCCATCTTCCTTGCGGACCCCAAGGCTAAACACCCCTCCCACCTCCTCCGTCTCTTCCTCACTCAGATGCAGCCACACTCAGATCTACTGATCAGCAGCTCCTCCTCAGTACGACTCACACATCACACTCAGGCTCAAGCATACTCAGACTGGCTCATACCCAGACTCCCTCACTCTTACTCGGACGAACTCACACTCGGACTGGGTGAAAACTCATAGTTGCCCACCTTCAGACTCACTGATATTCAAATTGAACCGTACTCAGACACACTCAATGTCAGAATCATACGCGTCATACTCGTACTCAAACCCACTCACACTACGAACAACTCACCCGCACATTCAGTCATACCCAAGACCACTCGTCTTCTGACTCACTCGTGTGTAAACTCATACTCTCAACAAACTCATACTCAGACCCACGCGCGCTCATACCTACTTCCACTCAGATTCACTCGAACCCAGACTCACGCACATTCAGACTCACGCATACTCAGACCCACTGATACTCAGACTGTCACATACCTAGACTCACTCACACTCAAACTCATTCAACCCGGGCAAACTCACACTCACGTCATTCACGCTCAGATTCACTCAGTCCTCCCTGTTGGTGGTCCAATGCTTCCTCGCTCATCCGCTTGTGCTTCCCTCCACTCTCCTGAAGGATGCCCAGAGGACGAGGGGGACGTCACTGAAGTCGTCGCAGAGGTTTTCGTCGTTGTCGCGCCCGTCGTCTACGAGACTCGCTCTTTGTTCTCCCTCTTTGCCTTCTCTGTACACAGGCTGCAACTGTAACTACTACAGCTTCCTGCGACGCATCCACTGCATTTTTCCGAAGGGCTGCCAAACGCGCACTCTTCTGCCTACGCGCCCTTCGGGGTGCTTGTCTTCGCGGCGGCCCGCTCCTATGTTTTAGGAGATGCCCCGAACCTGTCACAGGTCATCGCGAAGCGGCGGCGCTGCTTTGGGGAAACCAAACAGTTCTGACATCGCTTCTCCCCGGGCCTCTCTCGGGGTGCGTTCTGACCAGAACTTCGAGGCGAATCCAGCGATGGCGACAAGGGCCTCCCAGGAGGCCCAAAAACAAAAAGAGAGAAACACGAGGGAAGGGTAGAGGGGTGGGTGCCCCTTCCTCCTCTCAGATATCACGCCGCGCGGCGGCGCTGCATGCCCCTGCCCCAATCGCTCCCGGGCCACCAGCACGTTCCCGTGCACCTCGGGCCCGAAGGTCAGGTACGCCACCACGGAGAAGGCTGGAAGCCGCGAGCCCCTTCTTGAGCGCGCGCCCGACCCCGCCCGTCCCTCTTCCTTGCCTTTTCTTGTGGAGGAGGAGGAGGAGGAGGAGGAGGAGGAGGAGGAGGAGGAGGAGACGGAGAAGGAGGAGGAGGAGGAGGAGGAAGAGGAGGAGGAGGAGGAGGAGGAGGAGGCGGAAGAGCAGGAGCAGGAGGAGGGCGCGATCCCAGATGGCACCAGCCCTGCGCGTCCCTGCCAGCCTGGGCACCGGATGCGCAGAGACGGGCAAAAGAGAGAGGCGGAGACCGCGTCGGCTTGGCGCCGAGCCCCACAGAGACCTCTGCCAGAGATCTGCGCTGACTGGGCGTTGCGCGCCAGGCCCGCGCGGGGGGTAGCAGGCCTCCGAGGGTGCGATGTTTTAGCAGCGCGCTGCCACTCCTCCGCCTCTTCCTCCTCCTCCTCCGCCTCCTCTTCCTCATCATCAGCAGCAACAGCATCAGCATCAGCATCAGCATCAGCATCATCCTCACCACCACCATCATCATCATCATCATCATCATCATCATCATCATCATCATCATCAGCAGCAGCAGCAGCAGCAGCATCAGCATCAGCATCATCATCAGCATCAGCATCAGCATCATCATCATCATCATCAGCATCAGCATCATTATCATCAGCGTCATTATCAGTATCAGTATCAGTATCAGTATCAGTATCAGTATCAGTATCAGTATCAGTATCAGTATCAGTATCATCATCAGCAGCATCAGGATCACCATCATCTGCATCGGCATCATCAGCATCATCACAATCAGCATGCAGCATCGTTATCAGCATCACCATCATCATCATCATCACCATCATCATCATCGCCATCACCATCATCATCAAAATCACCAGCATCGTCATTATCATCAGCATTATCATCATCAGCATCATCACCATCACCCTCATCATCACCATCACCATCACCACCACCACCACCATCACCATCTCGATCATCATCATCGTCAACAACAGCAAAACCATCATCATCATCGTCAGCATCATCAGTGTAATCATAATCATCATCATCATCATCATCATCATCATCATCATCATCATCATCATCATCATCATCATCATCATCATCATCATCATCATCATTATCATCACCATTACCCTCACCATCACCATCACCATCACCCTCACCATCACCATCCCCACCACCACCACCACCACCACCATCACCATCAGCATCATCAGCATCATCAGCATCATCAGCATCCTCATCATCATCATCATCATCATCATCATCATCATCATCATCATCATCATCATCATCATCATAATCGTCCCTCCACCTCGTCCTCCTCCTCCTCCTCCACCTCCTCCTCCTCCTCCTCCTCCTCCTCCACCACCTCCTCCCCCTCCTCCTCCTCCTCCTCCCCCTCCTCCTCCCCTGTTGCCGCCACCCGAAGAGCGCATGGCCGTCTCCTCCGCGCCCCCCTCGTTTGTGTGGCTCTCGGGAGGGCCAGGCCGCCGCTCGGCGAAGGGATGGGCCCGGCAGGCACCGGGCCAGGGACTCCTGGCGCGAGAGCTCCAGTGGAGCGAAACTCGGCCACGTCACGACGAAGCCAGGATAAGGATTAAAGTCAGGGCTGAACCTAAACGGTGTCTTTCGTTTCCCCTCGTGTTGTCTTCCATGCGCCTTTAACGCAAACGAAATCGAAACGAAAACGGCCCACGAAATCGCCAAAACACCGCTTAGGTCCACCCCTGATAAAAATAGGGTGAAGATGAATCGAGACCTCTTCGGTGGTTCAAAGATACGATCCTCAGGGATGGGGTCCTGAGGTAAGGCAGGGATTCAAGGTTGATTTGCATTGTTTGAGGCGCGACCCCACTGCTTGAACCACCGACCCTTTGGTGCGCGGGGGGGCCAAACCCAGAGATCAAGCCGCTGCTGCCGCATATCCACCGATGCGGCGCGTGAGTTTGGGGGGTGCTCGGGTGGCTCTGCCGGGGAAGAGGGGGGGGAAGGAGGGGGGCTGCCCCCATCCAGGTTTGGGTGGGGGGCGCTGGGGCGCTGGGGGGTGCCAGGGTGGCTCTGCAGGGGAAGGGGGGGGGGGGCTGAGCCGGGCTGTCCCCGTTCAGGTTCGGAAGGAGTCTGGGGTATGCCGGGGTGGCTCTGCCGGGAAAGGGTCGGGGGAGGGGCTGCCCCCATGCAGGTGGGGGCTGCCGCCATTCAGGTTTGGAGGGGGAGGGGGGGGGGGGGGGCATTCAGGTTTGGAGGGGGGGGGGCGCCATTCAGCTTTGGAGGGAGGAAGGGGAGGGCCATTCAGGTTTGGAAGGTTTGGAGGCGGGTAGGAGGCTGCCGCCATTCAGGTTTGGGGAGGGGCCGCCATTCAGTTTTGGAAGGGGGGGTAAAACCGGATCTGCCGAAGACAGAAAAGGAGAAGGAAGCGCCGAAGACGTGTGGGACAAACGAGCACAATCCAGACAATGAACAAGAAAGCAACAAAGATGGCACAAAAGATAAGAGGGGTGAGAGACGAAACGACGAGCCGAGAGGCACAACACGAGAACGGCTACCGCAGTGCGAACGGGAGAGGCACGCGAGCAGGAGGGGAGCCGAGGAAGGACGAAACGCGCCAGAAGCAGAAACGCCACCCGATCGGCGGCACTGGCCGGAGGCCAGCTCAATATAGATCGCACTCGGCGACCCCGGGGGCCCCGGGGGGGCCCGCAGCACGGGCCCCTCTGGCGCAGGGCCACCGTCCCTGAGGTCCGAAGGATGCTTTTTGTTTTCAAGCCGGCGGGTTTCCCGGATGTCGGCCTCCGAAGGAGCGTGTGCTAGATGCTGGCAGGAAAGCCGGGCGGGGTCACTGAGGGTTTCCCCCCCCGCCCCTCTCGAAAAACCGAGGGGGGGCGGTCACTGGGGGTTCCAGCCCCCCCCTCCCCCTCCCCTGGTCCATCATGAAAAGGGGGGGGGGTCACTGCTGGTTCGAATACCTCCCCCCCCTCTCCTGGAAAACATGGAGGAGTCACTACTGGTTCGAACCCCCTTCCCCCTCCCCCCCCCTCCACCCTCGCCGCAACGACTCCCCCTCCTGTCCCACTCCGGATGGGGAACTGGTTGGGACAGTGGTTGGGACGGTGGTGGCGATGGTGGTGGGAAGTGGGGACAATGGGAAGAGTGGGATTGTGGTGGGGACAGTGGTGGGAACAGTGGGGGCAGTGCGCCAGTGGTGGGGGCACTGGCGGGGACAGTGGGGACAGTGGTGGGGACTGTGGGGACTGTGGTAGGGACAATGGGGACAGTTGGACAGTGGTGGGGACGGTGGTGGTGGGGACAGCAGTGGGACAGTGGTGGGGACGGTGATGGTGGGGACAGTGGTGAGGGCGGTGGTTAGGACGGTTGGGACTGTGGTACAGTGGAAAGAGTCGTGGGGACAGGAGGGACAGGGGGACAGTGGTGAGGGCAGTGTGGACAGTGGGGCAGCACACTGGGACAGCGGTGTGGACAGTAGGAACACTGGGACTGTGGTGGGACCGTGGAGACAGTGGGACAGTGGTGGGGACAGTTGGGACAGTGGGGAGAGTGGGATCGTGGTGGGGATAATTGTGGGGACAGTGGGGACAGCGGGACAGTGGTGGGGGCACTGGTGGGGAAAGTCGGGACAGTGGTGGGAACAGTGGGGACAGTTGGACAGTGGTGGGGACAGTGGGGACAGTGGGGACAGTGGTGGGGACAGTGGTGGGGACAGTGGTGGGGACAGTGGTGGAGGGGACAGTGGTGAGGGGGCACGGGGACAGTGGTGGGGACAGTGGGACAGTGGTGGGGGCGCTAGTGGTGGGGACAGAGGTGAGGGCGGTGGTAAGGACGGTTGTCGGACAATGAGACAGTGTTACAGTGGGGAGAATGGTGGGGACAGTGGGGACAGTGGGACACTGGTGGGAACAGTGGGACAGCTCAGTGGGACGGCGGCGGGGTTAGTGGGGAAAGTGGGACAGAGGCGGGAACAGTGGGGACAGTGGGACCGTTGTGGGGACAGTGGGTACAGTGGGGAGAGTGAGACCGCGGTGGGGACAGTGGCGGGAACAGTGGGGACAGTGCCCCCAATAGCGGGGACAGTGGGAACAGTGGGGACAGTGGGACAGTGGTGGGGACGGTGGTGGTGGGGACAGTGGTGAGGGCGGTGGTGAGGACGGTGTTGGGTACTCGGGAGTCTTTTGCCGGCTGCGAAGGGGGGGCGGGGTTCGAACCGGTAGAGTGACCCCCCCCCCGGTTTTCTAGAGGGGGGGCGGGGAGGGGGGTTCGATCCGGCAGTGACCCCCCCAGTCTTCAAGAGAAGGGGTGTTCCAGAGAAGGGGGGGGGGTTGCCGGGAGGGGGGGTGAGGGGGGGGGTTCGAGCCAAGGGGGGGGAGGGGGGGGAATTTCGGAGGGAGGGGGTGACCCTCGGGTTCCGGAGGAAAAGGAGGGGGGGATTCTCCATCGTAAATCGGCGGTGGATCGCACTCTCTCCGGCCTCCGGGGCCCGTTGTCGGGGCCGCGAGGACCATCCAACATGGGGCCGGGACGGAAAACCACCCCCAGGAAAGGGGTCGGGACCTCTATAGGGCCGCGGATGGAAAAACTCGTGTCGGCGGATGTCTGGGCTGGCGCGCAACCGAGGAACACCCAGCTCAGCCACTACCGAGCGCTGGCAGAAGCTGGAGAGCGGACACTGGAGGGCCAGCGGCCGACGCGACGGGCGGGGCCCAGCACGCGCGCCGAGATCTCGCCCCCACATCCCAGGCTGACTGGCGGGGGGGCGAGGAGGGGGGCTCCCACCAGGACCAGGGCGGACGGCTACCACTTCAAAGCACGGATCGACGCAACGACGCCGCTCACGTGCGCGCATGGTCGATAACACTCCACCACGAACCGAAGTCGGGGGCCTCGAGAGGTGCTTTGGGGCGGCGGCAAGCAAACCCACGGCCCAGCTAAGTTGCCAAGCCCAGGTCACTTCCCCACCTCCTTTTACTCCTCCACACCTCCACACCTCCTGCCATCGCTCGGACGTCCGTTCCCTGCGTATGTGTCGGTCTGGCGCGTGTTCTTGCATTTTCTGTTGCCAGATGATCCAGGATGCTCCTCGATGGTCCTCGCCGAGAAACAATGCACACGCCCGAGCGATGCCAAGATCTGTCGCTGGACGGAGCCCCATGTTGAGAGCCGCGAGGCATCCTGCCTGGATCACGTTTTTGTCAGGAGGGGAAAAAACACACAGACACAAGGAATCGTCGACTCCAAGGAAAAGGTGGTAAAATATGGGAAGTGGGGGGAAGACGAAAATCCAGAAAAGATTCAAAAATATAGGGAATCCTGGGATTTGTGTGTATTTATGTGTGTCCTTGAGCCCCCTGATTGTGGGTGCCCCTCCCCTGGCCGCTCGACTCGGGAGATCGGGAGAGACGGGGAGGCCAGGGGAGGCGAGGGGAGGCGAGGGGAGGGGAGGCGAGGGAGGGGAGGGGAGGGGGGGAAGACATGGAGCGGTGGGAGGGGGATGGCGGCTTCTACCCACGCGCCATCGCCCGAGTACGCAAGGAGAAGCTTGGATTCCGTCCTCTCCTCTTCTTCCAAGCATGCCTGCACCGGCTCCCATCTCTCCCGGGACAGAGAGCGAGCGAGCGAGAGAGCAAGACAACAAGCATACAAAGAGACAGACAGACAGAGATGTACATACAGACCGAGAGATAGAGAGGGATATACATATATATATATATAGATTACATGCATACATATACATATATGTGATGCTGCCTCGCAAATCCTGTGAAGGTCAATGGAACTAGTGTACAGAAGTGCTGCAACATCTGAAAGCGCAAAGTAGTGTAGTGTAAAGCACCGCAATGCAATGCAAAGAGGAGCAGAGCACAGCAGCGGCAGCGCAGCGCAACGCCATGCGACGCAGTGCACAGCAGAGCAGGGCAGTGGCATGCCAAGGCAACGCCACGGGATCCAAAGCAGTGCAATTCACTGCGATTGCTACGGAGTGCAACGCAGTGCGATGGCGACGCAGCGCGATGACAATGCAACGGGGGGGGGGTGCAGCGGGGCGGCGGCGACGGGGCAGCTTACTGGGGAACACGGTGCGGGGACGGGCGGGAACGGGGCGGCCGGGGCCACACCTGGGTCCAGCTCGTGAGCGTTCTCCTATTCGGCGTTTCGGCAATTGGGCGGATGGGGGGGGAGCTGCCCATCGCTCGGACGTCCATTCCCTGTTTTTGTTTCGGTTCCGTGCGTGTTTTTTTCGCCAAATGATCAAGGATGCTCCTCGATGGTCCTCGCCGAAGGAAAAATGCACACGTCCGAGCGATGCCAAGCATTGGGCGGATGGGGGGGGGGGGAGGGCTCCGGACCTCTGCTCAGTGCGACTGTTTGGGACCGTGCGTCCGATGGGGGAGACTCCACCTGCTCGAAGCAGGCGCCAAAAGCAGCAAAGATCTACGCCACGGTAGGGGGTGGGAGGGGGGGGGCGAGGGCCCGCGCCGATCGGCAAAACGAAAAAACAAACAAACGCTCACCTCCTGAGAAGAGAAATAAGAACCCCAAGTGCAAGCAGTAGAAGTAGATAGGGAGGTGGAAGGAGTCCTTGGTCATGGCGGAGTGGACGCGTGCAAGGAGGGCAACGAATGGAAGAGAGCAGTGAATTGTTCACGCATTTGCTGGGTGGAAAAAGCAGATGGGTGCCGAACATTCCAGCTGACTTCTGACGCTTGCCGACCGTCCGGCGAGAAACGCATCTCCTGTGAAGATCGCAAACAAGCACGAGAAGCCTTCGGGCGAAGCAGGAGCGCTGATAAACTAACTGGCAAAGCAATATTACTCGATCACGTATCGAAATCCTGCTACAACGTCTTCCACCCCCCAAGCCTCACTCTTCCTTCTATTAAAGGTCCTCCTGCTCACCACATTATTTGAATAGTCTTCCCTTGCTGCTACTTCTCCTGCTGCTGATCATGAACTAGCCGTCCATCAGATTGGGAAGGATCGATGTTACATGGACGTCGCATTGCGTCTCAATGCACTTGCATCACCTGCTAGTGGGTTCATTCTCGGATCATTCTGCAGAGCATGCAGAATGCATGTGGGCATTGCCCCCCGCTGGCTCAACAAATCAACAAATGCGAATATGGACGACGGTAACAACCCTGAAAGCCATGGCCCTCTCACAAATAACCGACCAACACCATCCACCCGTCGATCGTCATTCAAACATGTTCTCACCCGTAATATTGATGAAACCTGAAATGCTCCAGCATCCTTCATACAGATACACATGACTACGCATCATGTTTCGAACGAGGTGCCTCAAACCATCCCCCGGACGCCCCCGGGACGAACTCTGCCAGAGGGACCGCGGTCCTGCGTCCCTCCTACCCTCCGCCCCCTTCCCTCCCTGCCTCCTACTCCTTTATCCTCACGTTCCCCTCCCACTCCCTCAGGCGAAGCATCGGAATCTGAACCGGAGTCGGTTGGAATCGGGAAGGCCGGATCGGAATCGACGTCGGTGGAAAACCTGGAAGGGGGCTCGGCCCAGACCTGGATAAAAAAGTGGACACGGGATCCAGCTGAGGCGTGCGGAGAGCAGCAAGCAGCCTGTCACCAGTACTCCAAGGAACGCCCTGGAAGCCGCGTCTGGCTTTGAGTCCTGCAGCCACGAGAAGCCTTCGGCGCTCTGCGGAGGAGGAGGAGGAGAAGGAGAGGAAGAAGACCAGGACGAGGATGGACACCATCCACTTGTTACAGCAACCAAACGGACTGGTCAAGGTACGTAGGAGTCATTTTAACGTAAACCCCCATGGGTCGCCAAGGCCGGGAAGATGCCGGGGCCGAGGGGACTAGCTTTTGCACAGGAGGGGAAGTGGAGGAAGATGCATGAGGAGGAGGAAGAGAAGAAGGATACATCAGACCCCATCGCCGCCAGCACAGATGAGGGACGACACGGCGAACACAACGAGCGAGGGAGACGAGGGGGTGAGAGGGCGAAGCCACATCCGTCTGGAGTGACTCCGTGCCTCTGGCCCCCCCCCCCGACGACTGCCCACGCGGGCACCGACTGAATACGACAACGGTTGCAATGCGTTGTGCCAAAGAAAAGCTCCTGAACCGGTTTCCACCATGTCGTGTGGGCGCGCTGTGGTGGTCTGACGACAGCAGACACATTGCGAAACGACAGCTCGGTCGTCCACGAAATAAATGCAACATATGTTCAAGACGAGTCGTCCTGGGTCACTGAGCTTGCTCCATCCGTCCACAGAATCTCGGGGGCGGCCAAGAGGGGGGCGTCCAACAGGGGGGGTGTAAATCATGCTTGGCGGCACGTGCGCGGCCCAGGGGCGGGGCCAGATACGTAATGAGATAAGAAGGGGCGCCATTCAACCTGGGGGAATATTATGGCCCACGCCATGATATCCCCCCCCTAGTCATCACCACACTCTTTTGACTACCTACCAGACCACCCCAACCCAACCCAAAGACCCGAATTTCGGGTTGGGGGGGGGTAAGGGTTCCACATGTGTTTTTTCGATGTTTCCCGACACCCCCCCACTGGAAATCGAGGGTAAATCTGAGCCTTCGGGTTGGGTTGGGGTGGTTTGGTCGGTGGTGATCTTTGCCGCCCCCGAGAATCTTCCGAAAGGACCACGCCGGGGAACAGGCAGGACAAACCCAAAGGGCGCTGACCTGGGGCTGCGCCCCTCCAGGGAGCCGTACATCGGCAGCACGCACATCTGGACGACGATCGCCTGAGCGCGGTACGGGAGCCACGGGAAGGGACGGTCTCCCCCGGGGCCGTAGGCGACACGAGGAGGGGAGGGCGAGGAGGAGGAGGAGGAGGAGGAGGAGGAGGAGGAGGAGGAGGAGGAGGAGGAGGAGGAGGGGGGGGAGGGGGGGAGGAGGAGAGAGGAGGAGGAGGAAAGGTCGCCGAAGCCCTTCGGAGAAACCCTCCAGCCACAAGAAGGGACGGGTCAGACAAGCGCTCAGCCTCACCTGGGTTCGGCACTGTTGTCTCCCTCATCCGGAGACTCTGGCCACGGTGATGCGATCCAGAGCAGGGTCCGAGGACGCAGAGGGGCTGCGAAACATCTGCGATCACGGCACGCGCGAACGCGAGAGGTGTACCACGAAGTCTCGGCCGACCCACCCCCCCACCCCCCACCCCTACTCCCCCCCCTCCTCCTCCTCCCCGCCACCCTCACTACTCGTCAGAAGGAGACGGAGATGAGGTGGGAGGAGGTGAGGGAGACGAGAGAAAGGAGAGGAAAGCGTGAGCGGGATTTCGAGCCCGCGTGCTGCCCGCTGCCTATTGACCTTCTGCCCTTCCTGGTCAAGCCTGCATCATCGCGCTAACCATCGCGATGTTGCCCCGAGAGAAGCCGAGGATGCAGACGTCCGCTGGCGCGGGGTCAACCTCGGGGAGGATGAGAAGCGTGGACTCTGCAACTTGCTGGAAGAGGAAGACTTCCTAGTAAGTTTTGTCTCGAGTCGGCTAGAACGGATTCTGGACGATAGGGTGAAGGGAGTTCTCTGAGGAGGGCGGCAAGAGAGGTCCTCTCCACCCCTCCCTCTTCCCTGCCCCACTACCCGAAGAATGTCCTCCTCCTTCATAAGCCACACCACCATCCTCCTCCTCGCCATCATGTTTCTCATACTCATCGTGGTAGTCATCTTCACCACCACCACCACCATCACCATCACCATCGCCATCGCCATCACCACCACCATCGCCATCACAATTTTATCCTCACCATCAACATCATCAACATCATCATCCCATCATCGCCGCCACCACCGTCACCATCACAATCAACATGACCACCAGCACCATCATCACAACCATCATCATCACAAGCAAGATCACCATCTCGATCATCATCATCATCATCATCATCATCATCATCATCATCATCATCATCATCATCATCATCATCATCATCATCATCATCATCACCATCACTAACACCATCACCATCACCACCATCATCACCATCAGCATCACCACCATCACCATGACAATCAACATCAGTATCCATGTCATCACAAAATGTTCGAGGCCAAAGCCCCATGCGCAGCGCAGCGCTACGTGGTACCGTGTCCTGCTCGGCATGCCGATTGACGGGCGCGGCCGCCCCTGAGTTGGATCTCCCTGGTTGCTCGGCCCCGCCCCAACTGGGAGGGCGTGTTCGAGGGTGAACCACCCGCCAGGGACACTTGGTGTGTGGCAGGCCTTCTTGTTTGGGTAGCGGCGAACCAGAGGCCGTTCTGCCTCATCCTGCTGGGCTCGCCTCTCACGTCGAGGCCTCCCCTCGAGAGGGGGTGCCTCCAGGCCAGACGAGCACAGAAGCCTCTGCGGCGCGGCCGCCCGAGCGGCGGGCCCGAGGGCGTGGCCGCGACTGGAGGTCAGGGCGGCAGGAAGCTTGTTGCTCCCTCCCGCCAACTGTTGTGTGTGTGAGTCTGTGTGTGGATGGCGTGCACTGCGCCGATTGCTTGTAAGGGGGTGCATCGCAATCAGAATCATACTCATAACAGCATCGCCATCGTCGTGAGCATCATCATCAGCAGCATCACCTCATCATCATCATCATCATCATCATCATCATCATCATCATCATCATCATCAGCATCATCATCATCATCAGCAGCAGCATCATCATCATCAGCATCATCATCGACATCGACATTATCATCATCAGCATCATCAGCCTCATCATCATAAGCATCATCAGTTTCCTCATGATCATCAGCATCATCAGCATCATCATCAGCAGCATCATCAGCACCGCCATCATTATCGTAATCGCCAACTGCAGTATCCAAATCAGCATCGCCAATCCTCAGCAACACCACAGCCAACACCATCACCATCGTCATCTAAAGCAATTGCATCATCAGCATCATCATCAGCATCATCATCCGCAGCATCGACATCATCATCATCAGCATCATCATCATCATCATCAGCATCATCATCATCATCATCATCATCATCGTCATCATCATCAGCATCCTCATCATCATCATCATCATCATCATCATGATCATCATCATCATCATGATCATCATCATCATCATCATCACCATCATCATCATCATCATCAGCGTCATCACATTCATCGGCATCATACTCCTCCTCGTAATCAGCATCAACATCATCAACATCATCAACAGCATCAGCATCGTCACCATCAGCAGCATCGTCTTCATCAGCATCAGCATCAGCATCATAAATCATCATCAGCAGCATCATCATCAGCAGCGACATCATCATCAGCAGCATCGCCATCAGCACCAAAAACACCTTCACCGTCACCATCATCACCACCACCACAACCATCACCACGACTCACCATCACCATAACAACCACCATCACAAGCGTTCACCCCCATCACCATCATCACCCTCAACCTCACCATCAGCAACACCAGCATAATCGTAGTCAGCAACATCACCACCTCCCGCATCGCAGTCATCATCAGCAGCATCAGCATCATCAGCAACAACATCCGCCTCATCATCAGCGCCATTACCCGCAGCGGCATAATCATCATAATTATCATCATCAGCATCCTTTGCATCACCACCACCATCACCATCACCATCATCAGCAGCAGCAGAAGCATCACCACCACCATCACCATCGTCACAATGATAATCATCAGCATTATCCTCTTCATCAGTATGGTCAGCTTCACCATCACCATCACCATCATCAACACCATCATCGCCACGATCCTCGCCATCGTCATCAGCATCATGATCACCATGGTCGTCGTCATCGTCATCGTCGCCATAGTCACTATCCCCCTCACGATCACCATCACCACCATCACCATCACCCCAATCATCGTCACCGTCATCATCAACATTGTCAGCATCGCCATTAATTACCAACATCACCATCATCGTTGACGCCATTGTCATCATCATCAGCGTCGTCGTCATCGGCACGGTTATCGTCACAACCATTCACCAGCATCCTCAACATCACCACCATCACCATCACTACCACCCATCATCACCATCACCATCACCACTACCATCATCATCAGCATCAGCATCATCGTCAGCATTATAAGCGGGAACCTGTGCTCAGCTTCGTTCGTGACGGGGGCCTGCACCCCCCTCGCGAGAGTCTCGGCTGCGCGTGTTCTCAACACTCCATCCTGGCTTCAGCGGAGTGCGCGCGGTGCTGCGGTGTCGCCCTGAGGGCGCGGCCTCGGCCAGCCAGCCGCCACTGCGCGCGGCTCATGCGCACCGCTTTACGCCACGCGCACGCGCCCTCATGGGCGGTGGCGGCGCTGCTCGCGCCAATGGCGCGGACGCCCGCGGAGGTCTTCAGACGGGACGCCGGCGCGCGGCCATTCACCCCCGGGCATCCTCAAGGAGTCGCCACTGGTGCAGTTATGCTGGACGCCCTCGGCACCGCAGGCGCCCCTGGTGACTGTCGCACCCTCATAATCCTGAATCCTTCCAAAAAACGGTTTTTGGCACGCTGGTCATGGGAATCCGCAAAACTCTTGCAAATGTTTGAAACGAATGTGCGGGACGCTAAGGCGAGAGCCACACTTCGAAAAGGAACCGCCCTCAATCCATGAAACTCTTGCAATTTTTGTAAGAACTAACAATGCGCGCGGCACTAAGGCGCTAAGGCGAGAGCCACATTTTGAAAACCACCCACCCTCAATTCGTGAAACTCTTGCGCATGTTTGCAACGAATGCGAGCGGCGCTAAGGCGAGAGCTGCATTTTGAAAACCACAGCCCTCAATCCGTGAAACTATTGTCAGTTTCTAAGACGAATGTGCGCGGCGCTGAGGCGAGAGCCACATGTTGAAGACGACACGCCCTCAATCCGTGAAAATATTGCACATGTTTGAAACGAATGTGCGCGGCGCTACGGCGAGAGCCACATTTTGAAAACCACCCGCCCTCGATCCGTGAAACTCTTGCCAATTTCTAAAACGATTGTGCGCGGCGCTCAGGCGAGAACCAGTTTGAAAACGGCCAGCCCTCAATCCGTGAAACTGTTGCCAATGTTTTAAGCTTCAGGGTCATAAATGGTGCAGAAGTCTCAAGCGAAACGCCCGTCCGCCGTAAAAACTGGCCTCGGGGTGCGACAGGGAGAAATTATTGATAAGGAGAAGGATCGGGCGTTGGTAGAACTGGGTTTAGTGGAACCTGGTTTAGTGATCTGTACCGGGGGCGCCCCCCCGTCCCATTTCCACTAACCGGAACTGCCGTCACCCGAAAAAACACCAGCTATGGCAAACCTGGTTTAGTGATTCTGGCCAATTCGAAAGCTCCGGGGCCCTACCACTAACCGGGTCCCCTTACCCGGGGTCCTGGCCATACCCGAAAGGAATGGGGCAATGGAGCACGAGGAGCAGAAAGAACAACACGTCAGAGGCTGAGCATCGGAAGGCCGAGGCCTATGCTCCCGCTCCGGCCCCTGGCCCCGAGGGCACCCCAGGAGGCCCCCAGGAGGCCCCCAAGAGGTCTCCCCAGGAGACCCCCAGGAGGTCCCCAGGAGGTCCCCAAGAGGGCCCCAGGAAGCCCCCGGGAGGCCCCCAAGAGGCCCCCAAGAGAAGAGGCCCCCAAGGAGGCCCCCAAGAGGCCCCCAAGAGAAGAGGCCCCCAAGGAGGCCCCCAAGAGGCCCCGAAGAGGCCCCGAGGGGCCCCAAAACTCGCCCGAGAGGCCCCCGAGAGGGCCCCGGAGAGACCCGAAGAAACATCCCTGAGAACTCTGACCCACAACCCAGGCAGCGTGGCGGGGTGGGCCGAAGGCCACTGCATGTCTTCCCGCTTCAGCCAGACGTAAGTCGGGCCTGTCCCCCTTCAGGAGGAATATTCAAAAATAGTCACAAAAATAGTCTGGGGTTGATTTGTTGACTATTCTTGAGCATTTGTTTTAATTATTTTTAGTATGAATTTCAATGTGTCGCCCAGAATCCCCCTGTAGGGGGACAGGCCCGACCGAAAGCCAGGCCAACGTGGGCAACCACGTTCGAGCTGCAGCTCGCCCTCCGCCATACCCGCCGCGCCTCCTTGGGCAGCTCGCGGACTGCTCCCGGCCCCCTCGCAGATCGGCCCTCCCCGGCTAGCCAGGGAGAGTCGCGCCGACCCTCCGCGGAGCGCTTCCCTCCCTCTCGAGGGGCAACGATGAAGGGGGGGACTGGCATAGGGGGGGATGCATCGACCTGGAGTCGGCGATGCATCGCCGATAGGTCGGCGATAGGCCCCTGATATTATAATGTTCCGATCCTGCTAGACTCTGGAATGAAGATACACACCGAAAAGTACTGTTTCAGAACTGTTTTAGAACTCGCGCAAATGTGCGCGCCAATAATTGTTTTAGAACTGTTTTGGATGTTTTTTTAGTTTGTTTTGTACGCGCAGGTTTGTGGTGCGCTTTA